CCCCTATAGTCAGCGATGGAATCAGCTGACTATGCCGAGGCGCCGGCATCCACAGCCACTCGGTCTTGGAAGGGTTGAGTCTGAGTCTGTTCCTCCCCATCCAGACCCTTACGGCCTCCAGGCAACGGGCCATCACGTCAAGGGCATCGTTGGGGTGGCCTGGGGTGGAAATGTACAGCTGCGTGTCATCAGCGTACTGTCTTATAAGTGAATTCAGTAGTTCCAGAACTACAAGAGAGGGGATAATGGGCATCCACATCTTGTCCTTTTTTGTGTGTCTCACAGGGCTTTGTTAGATCTCCATTAACGATTATTTGTGCTTCAAAGTGTAGATCCATCCAGTGTAGATGGATCTCATCCACTTTATGAAGGTCTCTCCAAAATTTGTATCTTCCAAAACCTTAAACAAGATAGTGTGGTTCAAATTAGCAAAGATCTTTTGTACATCTACAGCTTGTCTTTCATTGTGTTGCTCCAAATATTCCAAAACGTTCCAACGCGTTTATAACGTTATCCTTTTAACTGCTTCTGCCAGCTATAATAGTTGGTTTTCATAAGATATATTTTTGATGAAGGACAAGACAGTGGCAGTGTTTAAGCAATGCATTGATCCTGTACGCACTAAGATTTTGCCCTGAAGTGAAGGGATCACTGAATCTACCACTCACCTTCTGTTACATTGCTGCTTTTTCAAAGATGTTATTACATTTTACAACTCATGTTTTAGTAGAATATCAATCCAATTTCCAGGCCATTTGGATTTCTTATATAAAAGTTGCTGTCTTTGTTTTTGGAATGTAAACACTTCCCACCATCTGTTTAGGATCAAGAAAAACAGTGTGCTCAAATTGGCATCATGGTGGAATTCGCCATCGCCTTGATGACTAAACTAGATGGCATCAACCGCCATTCGTTCAACAATTTCCGTCTCCGTGTTGGTAAGTTTGGGACGAGGTGGTCTCCTCCCAGATCAAAAGAGTGGTATGCTGTGTTTTTTATATATATATTAAGGTTACTGTCCTGGTTCCAACAGATGAAACTCTTCAAAAGAACTTCGAGGCATTCTTTTACCTTAAAGAATCTTTATTTTGAGTAGCATAATATCGGCGCTGCATAATCGAAGCCAAAAACTGAATTCCCCTCCCCTGGGCACATAGTATCAAAGCACAATTCCCTCCTCCAATTAACAGTCATAAATCACATTCCCCAATTAGCTCGAAGCATGGGCTTCCTCTCCAGTTCTCCAGCCCGCCAATTCCTTATCAGCTCCGGTTACAATAACCTTGTTTCTCATGCTAGGTTCAGTGTTGTTATGTCTAGCAGGACTCTTGTTCACATCCCCCCTCCCAGCATCATCTAACTCTAAAAGCAAAAGGTAAAAGATGGCTACATTTCCATCTGTTGTCAATGCAAAAACATCCGATGTTAGCAGCGTTGACAGTTACACTGATTGTTTTCTTCCAAGTTTGCATACAACCTGTGTACACCTTATATGATACATTTATTTTCTCCTTCCCCATCCTGTTTATCAGGCATCAATCATGGACCGGTAGTGGCTGGTGTGATCGGTGCCCGCAAACCCCAATATGATATTTGGGGAAACACAGTCAATGTTGCCAGCAGAATGGAAACTACTGGGGAACTTGGGAAAATCCAGGTAAAGGAAGAAGAAGAGAAATTTTGGATTTTGATAGAAGGAAACTTCAACAATAACTATATGCTGAACGTGGAGATTAGTTCAGCCAAGCCATGTAGCTCTTAACTACTGGAAAATATGGGGGGTGGTGCTTTGCACATCTGCTGGGATTTATTTCTATGGTCCATATTTAGCTTTGACTGTGCAGATAAACTTACTGATTTTATAAGTTCTCCTGGAAGTGCCAGCAAAAAAGCAGGGTCCAAAATCAATCAAATATTCACTGAAGATTTTGAATGGTCTCTCCACTTCTGTTTCATACACAGGTGACGGAAGAGACATGCAAAATACTGAAGAGCTTGGGATATGCTTGTGAGTGCCGAGGACTGATTAACGTGAAAGGAAAGGGAGAATTGATCACTTACTTTGTCTGCACCGATACAGCCAAATCCCAAGTTTTTTGACTCGAAAGAGAAGATGCTGAGAAATTACGTTCGAAATTTCTTGTTGGACTTCGTTTTTATTGTTTAGCAACGGTTAAATTCTGTCATCTTCTGTAAAGGAGTTTTATGCCAAACGACTGTCTGTGCTGGCGTTTTGCGTCTCAAGAGAAGAAGGCAAGAGGTTCTTGCAAGATGTTTACAGTCGAGTCTACTGGATGCCATTTTTTTTTTCTTCCTGCCACAGGGGACCCAGAATTTTCTGTGGACTGGCAGCCGAGCGGAGTGCTTGGTTCAACTTGCCCTGCCCTTTTGCTTCATCCTTGCCTTCTCGTGAGGCTAGATTGGAGGATTGCGATAGCACTGCCTTGAGCAAAAATCAGATGACAATAGACCGGATTGGAACCTGGATCTGGAAGGCCTTTTTAGGTAGAGCTACCATCTGCTCTGCCATTAAATTGTGATCCCTCCTCTCATTGTCCGTTAGAGCCGCCCTCAGACCTGCTGCAGATCCCCCAAAACTGCACTTCCGCTTTTCTCTTCAACTAATGTTTCAAGACTCAAAAATATCTTCCTTGCAGTCCTTCTATACCAGACATGTCAAACACAAGGTCCGGGGGCCGGATGCGGCCCGCGAAGTGGTTTCATGTGGCCTGCGAAGCCATCCTGGAAACAGTGCGGGAACGGCCCCCGCTGCCTTGGCCCTGGCCCAGGCCAGCCGGGAGCCAATGTACAATTTTGTGGTGGCCATTTATGCTGAAACGCATTCAGTCTTAGCTCCATAAGCCCTCCCCCCCCCCGCATGGCCTGAGAGGAACAGTGAGGCTCCTCCAGTGGACCATGCCTTGGCGCTTGCCCCGGTCCCCCCCCTTCTGCCAGAGACCCTCAGATCTGTCCCACTCCTGCCCAGGCCCCCACAGGCACCCTTGACACGAACGATGTAGAGCTGGCCACGCCCACCCAGTAGGCCACATCCACTCCATCCACGCCCATCCAGTAGGCCACACCCACCCTGGCTACACCCACCCAGCCCCCTGAGGGCAACTGCAATGCTGATGCGGCCCTCAATGAAATTGAGTTTGACACCCCTGTTCTATACCACCACAAAATAAATTAGACCTGTCTGTTTTCATCGCTACTTACCTCATTTCTGTTCTGGAAGGAACAGCCTAAGGGAAAACTTCCCCAGCTAATGCAGATTTGCTTTTTTGGAATTCACTTCTTGGACTTGGTACCAACAACACTTGTGGGTTTGAGTCTTAAATGTGCTTGGTTTTTTTTAGAGTTGAAGGACTCTGAGAAGCCCTTTCCTTCCTTTTTCTCTTGTTTGTCTTTGCAAGATGCTATTTGAGTTCAACAGCCATTCGGTGGCCTATAGTAATGTGGAAATTCCTGCATTCTCAGTGTAAAATCCAGGCTCTTTCTTAAATAGAAACCCTGCTTATATAAATTACGGGCAATTCCTAGTACAACTGCACTACTAATACTAAAATAGAATGGTGGATTAATCTCCCAAATGGGTTGCAGTGCAGAGAAGCTATTGGGTCTTTTTTTTTTCCCTTGGTGTCAGAAACACCCTTATAATTTTAAGTGACGTAGAGCATTACGCACGGGGCCTCCGTGTCCCTGGCAGCTTCTGTTCAAACACTGCACACTAAGTAAAAACTGTCCGTATCGTCCTGCTGAATTTTATCTTGTGTAGGTTCGCAACCAAAATGAACAAGAAGCAGGCCAGGTAGTCCTACAGGTATCCCTTGATTTACGACCCAGTTGGGATCAGATTTTGCACTGCTAAGCAAGGCAGTTGTTAAATGAATCACCCGATTTTATGACCTTGTTTTTCCACGGTTGTTAAGCAGGTCAACTGTTGTTAAAGGAACCACATGGCCGTTAAGTGAATCCAGCTTACTGTATTAATTTTGCTTGCTGGAAGCCAGCTGGGACATTTGAAAACAGCGATCAGATGACCCTGAGACCATCAAACAAATACATCCTGGTTGTCAAGTGCCCAAATTTTGACCGTGTGTCGTGGTTCCGATAGATGAGACCAGTAAAAAGAACTCCAAGGAAAAAAGTTTGGCTACGTAACTTTGGCTACGTATTTGGCTACGTAATATCGGCACGTTCAAAAGTGAACCCAAGACTGAAACGACCTCCCCCCCCCCAAGGCTATAAAGTTACAAGTGAAACTTCCCATCCCTGTAGTATGTCATAAATCACATCCCCCAATTAACTACTTGCGTGGGCTTTCTAACGAAAGATACAATCTGCCAAAATGCAGCTAGCAATGACCTTGGTTCCCATGTATTGTTACGGCTAAGATAAAGCTCTCATCTCCTTCCTCCCAAGTCAGTGGCAACCGGAAACGAAGGGAAAACGGCTTCAGCTAATTTTGTTGTAGAGTTGACAACGTGGAGATGCCGCAAGGGAAAAAGTGCTTACTTTTTAAAGGGTCGTTGTACGTTGGATTAGCCACTAAATGAATGAGGACTACCTGCACTGTGTCTGTGCCAGCCTCATCTATGTCTCTCTCTATTATTCATCTCTACTCTTATTTCAAAGTATGATTTTGCTTTTTGCATCAGGATTTCTGAAGAATCCATGGGCCGTTTTAAAGCATTGCTAATCTTTAGCATCAGCTGAAGGTGGGTTTTGACTACGTGGGAAGCCGCACCACAAAGTGTAACGAAACCGTGATGCACTTCAGGGATGGGTTGAGGGGAAAACGTGTTGTTAAAGCACAACAAGAATGCTACTCCTGAAATAAAATTACTGTCTGAAAGAGTCCACAGCAATGCTACCTTATCTACACAAATTACAGTTTCTTTTAGATGGGACTATGGAATCGGACACGCAACTGCGGAAAGGTGTTTTGTTTGACACCTCTGATATTGTGCAAAATTAGGGCAACCAGTTGAAAGAATGATCTGCTTGTGCATCAAATCTAGAACAAGCAGGAAGAAAGGACAGCATTTATTTAAGATTATCTCTAAAGTACTAGTGACTTTTGTTGACTGGTGCGGTCAAGGACTGCCTATATTTTGCTGTGATTTTATTCCTGCTAGATCCATTTGTGTAAGGCTTTTTAAAGAATGCATTTTAGATATAAAGATTTATAGATTTGAAGAAATGGGAGTATTCTCTGGAGTGAATCTATTAATGAGGACTGCTCGTATTCATTTTTAAAAAGTTTCACAGCGCAGTTCAATTGACTGCAAATCCTTTTATGCTAAACCCTGTGTGCACCCTTATTGTGTTCATTATAATTACTGTGTAATTAATATGTGGAGGATGAATTTCCTACGTTTCATGATGGGAACAAACTTCTAGTGAGGTCTTACTATAGATAAAGGACTTTTAGAAAGTCTTAGGAGATTGAAGTAGATTCTATTCAAGAGTATTAAGATAAAATAATCCTGGGTAGTGTTAAAAAGGTTGGGCAACTGTCTTTTTTTTGTGTGTGTAATAACTGCAAGTTAATGTGAATTATTACTTTTCCTTTCTTGTTTTTATTGTACATTTATTACAAGTTTGGTTTTTAAAATAAAAGGCAGAATGTTTTGCTTCAGAAATTCTCTACTAACATTTGAAATAATTAGCTTTGACAACTGCTCTCAAAGGTATGTCGAAAGAAGCGTTTGCGAAATTGTTATTTTCTATTGTGCATTATATTGCTGTTCCAGGCAAACTGGTCTAAGCTATTTTGCTTCCACTTTTTAAGTCTTCTGTATTAAACATTTCATCTTATTTGATGTTATTTCTTCTCTACTTTATATACAAATATTCTTAAGAATCAGACAGTGCAAATAGACCCCTAGCCTCTGTACACTTAGTCCTCGACATACAACAGTTCAAAGTTACAACGAAACTGAAAAAAGTGACCATTTTTCACACTTTACAACCATTGCGGCGTTCCCATGATCAAAATTCAGACGCCTGGCAACTGACTCACGTTTATGACGGTTGCAGTGTCCCGGGGGGTTACGTGATCCCCTTTTGTGACCTCCTGACAAAGTCAATGGGGAAGCCAGATTGACTTAACAACCGTCTTGCTATCTTAACAGATGCAGTGATTTGCTTAACAGCTGTGGGGGGGAAAGGTCGTAAAATGGGGCCAACCTCACTTAGCAACAGAAAATTTGGGCTCAGTTGTGGTGTTAAGTCGAGAACTATCTGTTCTGAGGACAGGGACGGGATTTATTTATTTGTTAAATTTATTTGCCGCCTATCTCAGCGTGGGGCTACCCCAGGCAGCAGAATTAAAGAATCAATTTTAAGAATTCAAGGACAGACGGGCCACTTTGCTATCACAAGTGAAACTTTTCAAAGCTGCTGTCGCGACAGGCGAGGCCTCCCGCTGAGCTACTCATGATGGCTGGGTTATTAATGGTGCAGTCTTGAAGGACTCTTAGATGCTTCAACCTGTCCCAGAATGATTGGAAGGGCAGAAGCTTTGCTAAGCCCATGTAGCGCTTTTGCTGCATACGCTCACAAAGCCAGTTTGGTCTAGTGGTTAAGGGCTAGAAAGCAGGAGACCATGAGTTCAAATCCTGCCTTAGCCATGGAAGCCGGCTGAGTGACTTTGGGCCAATCACCAGGAGACAGTGAGTTCTAGTCCCGCCTTAGCCATGAAAGCCGGCTGAGTGACTTTGGGCCAATCCCCAGGAGACCGTGAGTTCTAGTCCCACCTTAGCCATGGAAGCCGGCTGAGTGACTTTGGGCCAATCACCAGGAGAGTGAGTTCTAATCCCGCCTTAGCCATGGAAGCCGGTTGAGTGACTTTGGGCCAATCACCAGGAGACAGTGAGTTCTAGTCCCGCCTTAGCCATGGAAGCCAGCTGAGTGACTTTGGGCGAGTCATTCTGAGCCCAATTCACCTCTCCAGATTGTTGTGGGGCAAATTGGAGAAGGAAGGTGCGTTGGATATATTTGTCACACATTGCCAAGGCATTATATGTAAAGGGATGTGAAATCCTGGCCTCTGATGACATGCATGTTGAGGTCTGTTTGAATATATTCTTCCCAGTTCCTTTTTCAGCCTTACATAGCCTGGCAAGGTTTGGATAACCTAACAAGATTTATGTGAAAATAATCTTTAACTGTGGGTGTCCTTATTCATACCCTCACAAAAGCACTATGGACCATATTCAGAAACCTTTCAAAACACGATCACCTTCTTGGCTCCCACAAACCATGATCCAATGCCTCTATTTTATTTAAAGCATATCTTTTAGACCTGCAATTAGAATAGGACCAGCTTGGTTTTAATAGTTTTATTAGGAATTCAAATATGTAACAGATAAAAGTATACAAACAGCTTGTGCATGCAATGGGGCAAGTTTTACCCCTCTGCCACCGAAGAGGGAATGTTTAATAAGGATGCTTCATACAGCAACTGGTTCACATTCATTTTCAATGAGAATGACAGCCTTGGGAGAGTCTTGTATCTCTGGGGAGAAGAAAAAAAATCCGAAAAGCCACTGGTGATATGACTTGCTTGGTTTGCGAAGCTGGTCAACTTATTGCTAGCCTATCCGAAGTATGGGCAGCTCAACCCTGCTTAGTTTGTAACCTTGCCTGCATTCAGAAACGAAGCAAGATTGGGCAGGGTTAATGCTTAATTCGGACAGACTAGACTAGGTCTCTAGACATCCCAAAAGAAGTACAGTGGTGAAGAACCATTTCTGCACCATGGCTAAAATTGCTCAGCTATGTGCAATATCCTTGATGGATATGGTTACTTCTGCATACGTCTAACTTTCTATTTAAAAGAAAGCCCTGCGTTCAGTGAGATTTGCAGCAAGTGGGCAGAGGGCTTCAGGCTCCCTATCTTTAGGATGCATTTCTTACTTTCAGGATTGCGAAGAAAAGCCAAGCCACCAGACTCAGGTTTCAAAATTTCATTCTAGTCCGACCCCCGTTGAAATAAAGACATACGGTAGTGGCCAAAATTGTGGAAACCTTTTGGGAAAAGTGTATTTTTGAGGTTTGATGGCTAATAACACCACTTTTTTTGGGAGTAGTACCATAACATTATATATCAATGGAGAGGTAATTTAATCAAGAATGTAATGCAACAAGGTTTGTTCAATTATCTGTACTGTATTCTATGAAAAGTTATAGCCAAGTAACCAGAAAAAGGAAGCACAACTTGCTTAGGTTGATATCAGGTAGCTTTCCTTCCTCTGATTGTAGCCAATGAGCATGAGTATTTAGAGAGCCAATTGGGTCATCTTGTTTTGGCAATGAGCCAATCAGATCACAATAGAATTCAGTTATTGATGTCATGTATTGAAGCCGAGAGGAGAACATTTGTCAGTGTGTTGTGTGATCGCTATCAAGTTGTTGGGGTTTTTTGTGTTCTTTCATTTAGTGAGCTTATAAAATGTAATACAATTAAAGCAATAGTGCAGAGTTGACTGGTCGCCCAGAAAGCGATGTAAAATAGTATTATTAAGTGAACAAGGCTACAGTTATAAAGAAATTAGAAGAAAAATGGGTGGAAACTTAACCAAAGGTGGCATTTCTACTGTACACTTTTCCCAAAAGGTTTCCACAATTTTGGCCACTACTGTATATTCTAAAATTAGGACGGATTCTCAAGTAAACTCTTATGTTTGCAATAGTGGCAAATATCTGTAGCTCAGTTGTAGGATGAGAGTGAAGGTTTATTCTCCAAGTTTGTGGGTTGGTTTCCGAACATTTCATTACCAGGCTAGATAATATCTTCAGCGGAATTTAGGGAATGTCGGTGTTTTTCTGTTTATAAGGGCTTCGGGTGTGGGTGTGTGAGGTTCTTGTGATAGGTCTTGTGTGAATCATTACTGAATCTTGTGATGGGTCCCTAAACTCCATGTGCTACTTTACAAGATATGGTTCCCACAGCAAAGCTGTTCATAACAGCCACTGGTTGCTGATGCCATGGTTATACTCACCCTCTGTGAAATCCACAAAGCTGCCCGTTTTTTCTGAAGCTGGGAGCGAAATCCCCATTGCTTTGCGGATTCCATAGGTGCTGACAATGTCACCTGGAGCTACCTGCTGTGCCAGCTCTTTCAGATTATTGGTCACCTTTTCCGCTGAAAAAGCAGAGAAATGAACGGATGTAATGTTTTACAAGGCTACCTAAAACTTTTATCTCCAACAAGAAAATAATTATTTCGACCAAGTGGCCTTCACATTCAGAATGTATAGGGTAGGAATATTATAGGGCAATACCACTAGCACTTAAGACTTATATACCGCTTCCCAGGGCTTTACAGCCCTCTCTAAGCGGTTTACAGAGTCAGCCTGTTGAGGACCCCAATAATCTGAGTCCTTTTTTTTAACCACCTTGGAAGAATGGAAGGCTGAGTCAACCCTGAGCTGGTCAGGATTGAACTTCCGAATTGCTATCAGCAGTTAGCAGAATTAGCCTGCAATACTGCATTCTAACCACTGCGCCACCATGGCACTTGTTAAATAATCTTCTATATATAAAAATGTAAATGTTCGTTTGTTCAAAATCTTAAATCTCCGAAAGTTCTTCACCGATTGCTTTGAAATTTTGACACAACGTTGCATTCGAATACGCGCCTGTTTTTATATACCTACTATTATATAGATGTCACACCTGTGACAGGTAAAAACATGCTTTATTTTTGAAAAACAGTGCCATTTGTTGGACGTAAAAGCATACCCATAAGCATTGTGAAATTAAACATATTGCAAACGTGCGCTTTCTCTTTTCTTTCTTTTTCCATTTAACCAGACTGAGCCACAGCAACACGTGGCCAGGTACAGCTAGTTTAACAATAAAAGTGAAGGCAAAATGTGCTTTCCTCCTTGATACATGTTCAAAGGTTGGTGATTCCTTAAAGAAAGTCTCAGTGGGAACAAATCCAAGCTATTCTCTTTTGTTTCCAATTGCTCTACAGAAGACTTAACTTTTATCCATTTTCGTCCCTGTTGTTGTTATATTTGTCTGTTTCTCCCATAATGGTTTCCCAATGGAAAACCATCCTGTAAAATGGCATTTCACTGGTAAACAAATAGATCCAAATTGTGGTCTGATGGTTTAAGTGGTGCAACATAGAGGGGGTGTCCTTGTTGTGGAACTCAACATTCACAAAAAACTGTAAGACAATTTTCAGAGTCACCCAACATGTGAGTGGCATTAACGACAAGCAGCGTTTTGAAGTTGATAATATATGCTAAGAGCAGAAGAGAGCCAATTGGGTCTATGGTCAAGGTGCCAGGCTAGAAACTGGGAGGCTGTGAGTTTAAGTTTTGAAGTTGATAATATATGCTAAGAGCAGAAGAGAGCCAATTGGGTCTATGGTCAAGGTGCCAGGCTAGAAACTGGGAGGCTGTGAGTTCAAGTCCTGCCTTGAAAGCCAGCTGGGTGACTTTGGGCCAATCACTAGGAGATGGTGGGTTCTAGTCCCACCCTAGCTGTGAAAGCCAGCTGGGAGATTTTGGGCCAGTCATTCTGTCTCAGCCCAACCCACTTCACAGAGTTAGAGGAACGTGTATTGAATATGTTTGTTGCCTTGATTTATTTATTGTAAAAATAATAAAGGCAAGACATAAATAAATAAGCATTCTTATTCTTACCCAAATGCATTTCCTTGTAAGATGGGCCCAAGAGACAAATCATATTAGGCGGTGGTTTTGTACTCAGCCGTTCATTTTGGGCATCTTGAAGGTCACAAATTAATTTTGTGGTTTCATCAAGCTTTTTCTGAAATATTTCAGCTTCTGGGAAATCAAAGATGAAGCTGTGAGGCACCATAAATTGAGTTAGATTTTGCCACAAAACCTTGCAAAGTCATGTTGACTCACCTTCAGAATCAAATTCGTCAGCAGGCACCCCAAAATTGGTTACCGCTTTCAGTGCCGTAAGCCTTTCTTTACTAAGGCCAGAATCAACGTTGGCTGGATCTTTGTCTATTATCTAGAAATGCAAACAAAGATATGGTCTTAAAAATCCAGGAAATACATCATGCTTCGCCCATTATCATGCATTATACGTCTACAGTGAATATATTTTCTTGGGGGAAAAAAATGAAGGACAAACCTAAAAAAAGGAGCAAATCTGAAATCATAAGGATATATTTTTAAAAACAAAAACAAAACCTGTTTACGTTTACAACTGTGCTTTACAAAGTAAAATTCAAGATCAAGCCCAAGAGAACTTTACAAAAACGCACAAACTAATAAAAGTATCTAAAATTAAAGTGTATGTCAATTTATTTGAAAAAGATAACCCATATTTTCAACATGAATGTGATGGACTGGGGATAAAGTGCCAACATTAGTATGTTGAGTTAAATGACCATTGGTATATTAAGTTAATAATAATAAAGTTGGAAGGGACCTTGGAGGTCATCGAGTCCAACCCCCTGCTCAGGCAGGAAACCCTACACCATTTCAGACAAATGGCTGTCCAGTCTCTTCTTAAAAACTTCAGTGTTGGAGCATTCACCGCTTCTGGAGGCAGGTTGTTCCACTGGTTAATTGTTCTCACTGTCAGGAAGTTTCTCCTTAGTTCTAGGTTGCTTCTCTCTTTGGTTAGTTTCCATCTGTTGCTTCTTGTCCTGCCTTCAGGCACTTTGGAAAATAGCTTGACTCCCTCTTCTTTGGGGCAGCCCCTGAGATATTGGAACACTGCTATCGTGTCTCCCCTCATCCTTCTCTTCGTTAAACTAGACATACCCAATTCCAGCAACTGTTCCTTATATGCTTTAGCCTCCAGTCCCCTAATCATCTTTGTTGCTCTTCTCTGTACTCTTTCTAGAGTCTCAACATCTTTTTTACACCGTGGTGACCAAAACTGGATGCAGTATTTCAAATGTGGCCTTACCAAATAAAAGACCAGAATACGTTTTTGAAAAATAAGTAAATCTAAAGAAGATTTCTAAAATAAAGGACTGTCCTTTAAAATTAAGCGCTGTGTGGTAAGATCATTGTATTTATGAGCCATTGTATATATGAGTCAACTGAAGTTGCAAAGATGCTTTTTCCAAAAGGCAACTGGATTTCAGTTCTGAAGAAGCTTCTTGCGTGAGAAGTGAAACATTTTCAAAGGGGAAAAAAAACCACCAAGGAAGTCCAGTTGTCTTTTGGAAAAGCACCTTTGGGACAACCATGACCTGGGTGATGGAGAATCTCCAGAGACATTGAACCAGCTAAAGAGCAGAAGTGGAGAACTCTGTTTGGGCAGGTGAGGAACCCTCTGATTAAAAACCCCACCAGTTCTAGAATGTCCAAATTTATAACCATGTCACCTCTATGTCTTTCGTTGTATCCGTCTTTTTCTGTAAGTGTTCTGTTTCCTCTGTGCTCTGCAATTAGAAAAGAACCAGAGAAAGTAATGAGAGAGCAAAATAAAAATTATACTTTGGGTGCAACCCAATAAATACTTGGTCATCAGTAATACTTATTCGGACAATAACCAGCAACATTTTAAAAAGAGACAAAACAAAAACAGTGAAGCAAATAAATGCAATAAAAAAAACCCCAGAATATAACGTCCACTCCTCTTACTATATTAATACAGTTATTTGCCCAGGTGATAAATCTAAAAAATCAATAGGTATTAAATAAAGACTACATATCCCTTACAGCTAATAGTGAAGATGTATCAAAGCAAATAGTATTTTAAAATAAAGGTAAAATGTGTTTTGGACCAATTACACCTTGCTTTCAGTCCTATTGTTTTTTAGAATTATGTTGCCAAACACTTTTGATATGGGTCTTACTTTATTCTTAAGCAGGAACTTTCTTCCTGTATACTGGTAGTTCTCGACTTATAACAGTTCATTTAGAGACCGTTCAAAGTTACGACGACACTTAAAAATGTGACTTAGGACCGTTTTTCAGTTACAATCTTTGCAGCATCCCGATGGTCACATGATCAAAATTCGGACGCTTGGCAACTGACTCCTATTTATGACGGTCGCGTTGTCCCAGGGTCCTGGGATCCCTTTCTGTGACCTTCTGACAAGCAAAATCAATAGGGAAGCCAGCATCACTTAACCACCGTGGTTACTAACTTGACACCTGCAGTGATTCACTCCCCAAAACCATGGCGAGAAAGGTCGTAAAATGGGGCAAAACTCATTTAACAATTGTCTTCGTAAGTCGAGGACTGCCTGTAATCCCAGGATTTTTCCTGCAACCCTTCCTCCATGCATGAGCAAAGGAGAGTCACCTTGGTTTCTCCTACATGGAGAGGAGACTGAGTTCTTCTTCCCCATCATTTAGTTAAATATTAATAGGCTAGTTCTAAGTTGGTTAACCGAGAAATGATAAGCAAGGAAAGATTTCATCTTCCCGCTGGGCACTGAACTCCTTAACGCTGCAACGTTTAAGCTGCCAAGTTCATATGCATTAACGTGTGAATGTTCTCACCGTCTCGAGTTCTTTAAGAGTGCGGGAATGCTCGCCTTGCGTCAAGACATCCAGCAAGCTGTCAGCCATGAGACCAGGGTAATCGTGGGACTTTGCCAAAAACTCGCTGATGCTAAAAGCAAGGAACGCAATTATTTTACAACAAACAATGATTTACCGCAGACTTGCCGTTTCACATCACCTAGTTAAATTAATTTCCAGCTTACGAGGTAGCAATAAAAAAAAACAACCCCTACACTTGGATAACTCTCTTTTCACTGAACCAAGTACCAGGTCATTGTTCTGGTGATAAAAATAACCAGCTTTATTTAGCAGAGATCTTATCAGTGTATCCTGTTAATGCTAAACAAAAACATAAGTCAAGGAAGATTAAAAACTCAGATTTGAACGCCCAGAGGACGTTCATTATTTGTCCTTATGCTGATATTAAATCGTGCGCCGAGGTGGCGCAGTGCTTAGAATACAGTATTGCACACTAATTCACTGCCCACTGCCAGGAGTTCGATCCTGACTGGCTCAAGGTTGACTCAGCCTTCTATCCTCCCGAGGTCGGTAAAATGAGGACCCAGATTGTTGGGGGCAAACATGCTCTGTAAACTGCTTAGAGAAGGCTGTAAAGCACCGTGAAACGGTATATAAGTCTAAATGCTATTGCTAAGTGCTATTGCTATTAAATAACAGACAAACCTATAGATGAGTTACATGAAGCAACTATGACCTTCAAAGAAAGTGCTTATGAAGCATCAGTATGAAGTAACCTTATAGTTAAATGGTACATTAAAAGGCATTTTCGTGATGCTTGCAGAAATTAATTCACGCATTTTGGCCTAGTAAATCTGAGCACAAGTTAACACGATGGGCAGAAAAATATGTACAACTGGTGCAAAGTCTTATATTCATATTCCTGTACGGACTACCGTAATTCCTGGTATATAAGAACCACGGTGGTGCAGTGGTTACAATGTAATACTGCAGGTTAAATCACTGCTCACTGCCAGGAGTTCGATCCTGGCCAGCTCAAGGTTGACTCAGCCTTCCATCCTTCCGAGGTAAGTAAAATGAGGACCCAGATTGTTGAGGGCAATATGCTGACTCTGCAAACCGCTTAGAGAGGGCTGTAAAGCACCGTGAAGCGGTATCTAAGTCTAAGTGCTATTGCTATATTTCATCCACAGGGACTAGAATCACAAAACAATTAGCAATGAAAGACTTTTCTGCAGCCACAATAATTATGTTTTCCCCTTTCACCAATTAAATTGAAACAACAAAAAACTAAACATTTTCCCTCCTTCACAGTTTTGCTTTTATATTTTGTACTGTTAACAGCCAGCTGGGTTGTTTTAAAGATTTTCTTGTGGCACTATGTAGCCTTTCAGAAAAACAAATAAACAAGAAAGGTTCGGTTTTGCTAGAAAATGAGTGAGGGAGTGAGATGCTCTCATTCTTGGTGTCAAGTGTCCAGTGCCTCTTCTTTTCTTAGAAAAAGGGAAAACGAGAGCATTTGATGGGAAAGGGTCTCAAAAAAAAAAAAAAGCTTTCATTCTAGCATACAAAGTCTAAGATCAAAGGGAAATCTCGCTTGCTGGAAGACTTACTTGAAAATTCCTGGATTAGAATCTTCTCCATAAGTAGAGTAGATTAAATCTGAATCATCCTTGCTGATGTTTGCAAACGTGGAGTCGTAGGCTGGAGCATACGAGCTAAAAGGCCCGTAGTTCAAATACATCACTAATGGGAAATGAAGAGAGCAGGAATTAAGTATCTTGCATATAAGGGTGTGATAATGACCTAGAGAGCTTTCATTAATATAATGTTCCTTCAAAAGCACCATTAGTCATTGGAAGAGGGAATCCAATCTGTCAAATTAAAGTAGGAATGTTGAGGGTGTATTTTGTTTGGATTCTCGCCACCATAAAGTGCACTGTTTTGGCCTCTAATGCCAGTTCTACTAGTGCCCTGATGGCACTTTTAGTGTAAAAGAGGCAGCACACGCTGACTTTTATGTCTGCAAGAAAACAACCAAGCTCAGAGAGAAGCAAAGATCTCACTGATAAATACAAAGAATCAAGTGAGCAAAAGCGATACTTTTAATTTTTTTCTTAAAAGACTGGAGCTTGGTTTGTTGAACTCGGTTATTGCTCAGATTCATTTTTTACGGGAAATTGGATTGCTTTAATACAGAGATAGCCGTTACCTGGGGTTACTTTATTCCTTTTGTCTTCCTTAAACCCTTGTAAAGTATTGACCCCCGACTGAAGTCTTCCAGCGGCTGCTCCCAATTTCACAGAGATGGGACCCATTTCTAAAATCCAAAAGAAAAACAGGGGAATAAGAATCCGAGAGGCAATTTTAAAATTATTTATATACAAAGCAGAAATAAATCCTTCATACTAATGCTCTGTGGGCAGCACGTCTTAGATAGTTTTCTCATGGTTTTCTGCGACAATAAATTATGGAAAAATAATTCCTTACTTTTACGCCCCTGACTTAAACGTTATAATAAGTGCATGTCAAAGAAATCATTCACAGTGAAAAGTCAGCAGGCCTTCCTTTGCCTTCCTGGGGTTCAGAGTTTTGATGCTGCCTCACCCTCTTCTTCGTGGCAGGGCTTATCCCAATTTCAGATCTCATATGGAAGAAAAATCAAGCGTGATTGTGCCAAAAAAAGGACTCAAGAGAGGAAGACAGCCACGAAGTGGGACGGGGAAAAAACACCGACAGCAACGAAAGATTATACAAGATAGAAATAGCTCTAAACCTGTTGCAATAAGAAGACTGTAGATTTAGGAAAACAAGAGATAAGCACAGAATTACCATGAAGCTTAGAACGAAGGAATGGGAGTTTAATTTTGTATAATAGGTTTTTTTTAATTTTCTGGAGAGAAACAAATTCCACGATCTGTATTAGATTAAGGGGGAAAAAAACCCTGCTAAAAGGGTGTTATAACACATTCAAATGAAGTAATAGAAATGGTTAAGTGTTCCCCCATTTCATTAAATTGAAAAGTTGGCCTTTGGAATGGAAAGCACGTCCAAATGTACATTTTAGCAAAACAAAATTGCCTCCCACAGCTCAGCTCACTGTTTCTCCAATCAAATGTTACTCATTTGAAAGACAAACTGATTGAGGTATATTTAATATCAAAGATGGGATTGTCTGTTCCTTGGGCTTTTTGAGACCCCAGTAGGAATAGTCCTCAGCAACAGTTTTAAATGAATAATCCCATCCTTTGTAAACAGCCCCAAGAAGGAATATTAAAATCCCTCTAACAAGCATTACCTCCTGCTAGATTTTCAGCTGGAGTAAGAAGTCCCAGAGTGGTTGTGCCATCAGGTTTTCTTCTCTCAAACTCACACTGAAAAGAGATCAAGCTATTAAAGTGGGTCACCTGCACAGAGATTAAAATGCTAGTACAAGAAAGAGCTTTTTTTTTTAACTGATTAAAAAAAACCTAAATAACTGTTTTGCTAACTGTTTCAATTAATGGAGATTTGGGGAATTTAAAGCATTAGGTTGAGTCTCAAGAGACTTATACTGGAAACTTAAGTTTTTCTAAACTTTGGTAACTTTTGGCCGCTTACCTGCGTGTTTGCAGAACGTTTGGTCAACTTTCCCCCTGAATCTTTAATTATACGTTCGATCAGTTCTTGTTCCTTCTCTAAATTACTATTCCTGATTTTTTCTTCCAGTAGATCTTTTTCTTTTCTGGGGAAAAAAAAAGGCATTAAAACACCCATAAACATGCGTTCTTTTGTTTCTTTATAGTACGTAAAGTTTTTAAAATAGGCGTGATAAGAAAAATGCAGAATCCTTTGGACTTTGAATATTAGAAATGGTGAATGCCAATAACTGGTAACAGCAACTGGTAACTGTCAAGTTATCATTTTTTTTATTTTTGCACTCATGTCTGAGGCACCGAGGTGCTTCCGGGTTGAAAGGATTGGTTGGAGATATCACTGTTGCCCAGTTAGGGGCTCCTTTCACGTCCCCCAGTAGGAGCTGGAGCAAAGGACAGGTGCTCACCCCACCCTATGGCAGCACTCGGGTCTCAAACGCGAGCTTGCTGCTTATCAAGCCCGTTTCCTAACCACACAAGCCACCATGCTCGTCGTCATCAAAAGAGTAAAACCGACATTTAGTCAGTGAGGCAGACACGTTTCGGGAATTGGCTTCATTACATGAGCTGGTCATTACTTCCGGATTTGCTAACCTAACTAGAAAAAGGTTTTGAAAATTTTTGAACAATAATGCCTTCTTCCTGGGGCTGAGAGAGACTGGCCAAAGTTATCCAGCTGGTTTTGTGTCCAAAAACCAGGACTGGAACTCCTTATCTCCCGGTTTCTACCTGGCACCTTATCCACTACACTAAGCTGCCCCTTAGTCTTGCAGTTACCAGCTCCTGACTCGACTGAAATGAAAAAAGAAGTCAGCTTCTGGAGGAATATAATCACTTTTTGAACTCTTTGCTGGGACTTTTAAAGGCTCTGAGGTCTGGGTCTGTGCAGTCTCCATCTTTCCCCAGACCGTCCTCCTCTTCTCCCCCAGACTGCGAGCCGGTTTTGTCTGCCTGTTTCCTGCTTTTCTGAAGGTCTGCCATGAAGTCAATGCTTTGTTTCAAACTCTGAATCCGTTCCTAAGAAAACAAGATAACACAATGCGAATTTGCCGTTTTATTCCTACCAGCTGAAAAATCTGGGCAGAGTGCAACTTCATGAATTAAGTGCCTAATTCTCCAGTCATTAAAAAAGGACAAGATTCGACAAGGGACGTTTTAGAAGAATCCATAATGGTTTCCTTTCCTCCAAATAGATGATCCCAAGAATTAAATGCTGTGAAGCAGTGTTTAATAATAATAATAATAGTAAAGTTGGAAGGGACCTTGAAGGTCATCTAGTCCAACCCCCTGCTCAGGCAGGAAACCCTATACCATTTCGGACAAATGGCTGTCCAGTCTCTTCTTAAAAACTTCCAGTGTTGGAG